AACCGCCTTCCACATGCCTCTCTTTTATTTGATTGCACGCTTCGGACCAAACTTACTCGTAGAATACAATCCGCATAAACGAGTACGTACCCACGCACGCGTGCATGAATAACGCTTTCGTAAATGTTAAAGCTAAGTGCCAAATCGTTGCGCCCGCGGTGTTTTCAGGCGCCACTGCGACACACGCGTGGAATCGAACCCCGCGCCCATGGCCTACCAAGCCTTCCATCACTCCTGTGTCGGTAAATTGGTATCAGAGCTGTCTGGGAGGATAGCAGCACTGGCTTGATGAATCGGTAGGCCACCGCGAGTCATTGTAAAGGTCAGATATGCATTCAATCACCTCCAACGATACTTAGTGAAGTTGATTGCATAACGCATCCTTCATAGAAATGTACTTATCGTGTACACTGAAGCAAAAATTAAACAGTTATGATATATAGTAGTTATAATTATATAACTGTGAAAATTAAATTACACAAAGTTCAAACATTTTGTTATGTAGCAGTGACGTTTTACTCTTATCCCACTGCAACATTCTTTCTGTTAGATTACTTTTCGACGAACAAATATTTGTAAGCGAACAGCATGCGTCATGCCAGATTTATGTGGTGCTGAATGCCCATCTTGGTACATTTATAGGACCACTCTAATCGACTACGTTTTCATCGGATTGGAAACATTAAACGACAAACCGACTAAAACTCACCTGTAATAGTAGCTACATGAGTGCTAAGGAACAAAAACAAGAAGTGCAAACCGACAACGGAATTATCCCCTCCTTTACACATGATTGAGAAAGTCACAGTCACGAAATACTGATGATCCTATAATGATCCTATAATGCCATACTCATCTGATATAGAACAAAGATCTTTGTACACCAGCCAAATACCAAGGTAGTCAAATTGTATGCTCTAGTTTTTATAAACTCGCACGAGCATTAATCAAAACCGTTACACGATACCTTGAAATTTGCGATCTCGATGGCCTCTAGTACTTCTGCCTAGTCCTCTTTTCCATCTATTCCCTATCATCGGTTCATAAAAGTACCGTGTTAAACGGGCATAGTGATTTCCATGGATCGTTTCCGTTCTGGGTGCCGACAATTAAGCAGTTCTTCCCGTATCACGTCCATATACCGTGGTTGAGACCCAAATGCGTTACGTAAACATTTTTGTTGTTGTTTTCTAATTTCCAGTCCGTCAAAAGGGAAAGATTTGAGACGTACTTCGAAAGCCAAGTTTTTTATGCTAATTCTACTACCTCGAAACTCTTTGAGTTGGGCAAAACTCAAGCTGGGTTTTTCACTCGTGTTGCGGAAACGATGGAGGAAATCGGTACGCACGGCTGTTTTCATTTTTTTCTTTCACATATCGTCTACTTTTATCACTGCTCTGCGGTGTAACACTTAGACTAGTTAGAAACCTGGAGAGTGAGGAATAGAACATTTGACAGTGCATTGAGAGGCGCTCTGCCAGTGTGTTCAACTTGTCCATTTGTTCATGGATAATTGCATTGTGTTGCGCTATTTGTCGAAATAACTTCCTAGACATGTCCGGTTATTTTTCTTCACATTTTACATGATCCTTCATCACACCTACGTTTAGAATCTCGGTACTTCTTTTATTCGGTTCGTTTTCCTGGCATTCATCGTCCACAAACTCCCCGAATATTTCGCATGTTGCCGTTGTCGAGCTGCTACTTTTTACATTTCAAATAACGGCCTTTTCATTCGGCTCTGTCTGTGGGCTTCATGAATGACTATTGAACACACTGGAAATTTTAGACAACACAACGATTTGGGGGGAATATCCAAGCAAATTCTGCAACATTCTCATTAAAGGTAAATTACTGTGGATCCAGAAACAGGACTGTGGAAAATCCCTCTGAGAACAGTTCTTTACAACAAGGCGAACTAGGGTGGTAGAAGTGCTCCACCAATATACTGCTAGCCATTCCATTATTACAGTACTTAGTTTTTATACAAAACGGGCTAGTTTCCTTATGGGCGAACGGGTGTTTCGAAGCTACAAAGATTAAGGCACGAGCCAGATGATGCTGTTAACCGTCCTCCTCGCATTCTAGAAAGTAGACAATCTCATATTTTGGGGGAAAGCGAGTTCCCACTATGAAGGCTACCAAGAAGTCGAAATACCAGAACACGTTAGGATTTATTTTTAGAAAATGACGCACAGCATTCAAAATGAAAATATTGGCTCATCCAAGCAATACTCTTTGGTGGGCATTATAATTGAAAGAACTTTGGCGTAGATAACTGTTTTAGAGATGAAAGGACTACAACACCACTTCCCAGTCGGGTTTTGGCTTCGAAGTCGAGTAATAGAAAAAATCTAGAGCGTAAAATAGCAAGGAATACGGAATTGGAAATTGCGTCGTCATAATACAGTTCATGAGCTGGCAAACAGTGAATAACATCAACATCTCTATCCCACGAATTTATAACCCCAAATGTAAATGTTTCCAGTTGCCCAGTTACAATCTACAGCAACTCGAAATTTCCATTTGGAAGCCCATTCGAAGACTCCTGTACCACGAAGATGCTCGCCGAGCTGACCGTTGCTACATTATCACTATGAACAATAAAAACACAGATTATCACTGCTAAGGCTACTCTTTATCTCTCGCAGGTGCTCACCTCTAAGGCTGGTGGTGGTATAAGCCTACCAACCTTGCATCAAGTAACGAGACGCAACAGTACTGCTATTCTATTTCCGTATGCAGTTGTTTTCCGTTAAAACTAATCCTCATATGAGTGCAATCCTCTTCGGTATTTCTGATCCGTTTCGTTTCTGAACGTTATGTAGGTATATCAAACTGCAGCAGAAACTAGAAAGGTTTTGTAAGTACGGAGTGAAAACAGTGAGCGGTTGATGCAGCAGCTCTCGTCGATTTACATTGAACATTTGAATATCTGAACTAATTTTACATCCGATGAATATCGGTGCGTGAGGCGCAGTGGTCGGAGGAGCCCTGCAACACACACGTGGAATTGATCCCCGTGCCCATGATCCACCAAACCTTCCATCCTTCCGGAATCGGTAAATTGGTACCAGACTTATTTGGGACTATAGCAGCACTGGCTCGATACATCGGTATGCCACAGCGAGTCATTGTAAAAGCTAGATATGCATTCAATCACCTCCAACGATACTTAATGAAGTCGAATGCATGCGCATCCCTCAGGGATAGATCAACGCCGACAGCTTTATCCTTTTACGAAAGAGTAGGAGCTGTTGCCATCAACTTTAATTTTGAACATGATGAAACGAAATCTGTACAGTGAAAGATGACTTTACAAGTTCAACATCATAATTAATAATACAATGTACAACCACTGAGAAGAAATGAACTAAGTTGTCTTAATAATATGATATCCGGGAGCAAAGTAATGCAGTGGATTGTACAACATCACTACACGTCGCTTACCCGTTACTAAACGTCTCGAAAACTTGATGTCAATCCAGATACATATGTAAGCTGCATTCATTCTTTCAGAACCCTAACGGATAACAGCAATGTGATAGAAGTGTTAATGTGCAACAGAAGTATTCAAAGAAATACATGATAACATAGAGTGTAACAAATGGTTACTTCTAACAGCAAGAATAAAATGTGCTCTGAACACAATCTTTTGATGTAGCGAACAGTTCAGAGATGAGAGATGAAGTTGAACAAAATAAAAAAGATATCAGGAGGCATACAGCAGGCATTAACCAAACTGATAATAAATTGAAACTCATAGAAAAGTAACGGAAAACAGGAATTAACATAAAAATTGTGAAAGGATATCGAATCAAAAATTTAAGGTTGTTGATAACAAATACCACGTAAGGAGTCACAGCAATTTAGAAAACAAAGAAAAACGTTCACATGGGTTGGGTAGCTTTCTCTAGACCAGCAAGACGGTTCTGTTCGCAAACTACCTAACTTGTGACTTCTAACGATAGAAGTATTTAGTGCTTCACTCAGAGTTTGATGGTAGTATATAAGTATTACTGTTGGCTTCTGTTTTATTGCATGGTATTTCTATCGTAGCCTTCTAAATCTCTGTCTTCTCAGGCATTGGCACATGAATTAGTATCTCAAAAATCATTTGGCATGCTAGGTGATCATGGTCTAAAAAGAGCTACCCAGTCTACACTGAAACAACGTTGAGTTAATGTCGGTCTGGCCGTTGTTTCAAGAAATAACACCTCGTGTTTGCTGAACAGAAGTAGAAAGAATTATTCAATTAATGCCGAAATTAATAGAAAGTCGGACGTGAGAGTTATTGAACGATGTTGAGTAAAACTACGTAGTAGTTTTTTTCGCATCCTATAACGACGTATGTACGTAAATAAAGAGAATAAAGAGAGCTTGTCTTTATTTACATATAAGCTGACGGTTCGGCGAAAGAAATAAAATAACACCTCGTGTTTGCTGAACAGAAGTAGAAAGAATCGTTCAATAACTTCCAACAAATAAATAATTGGGGAAAAAAAAATATGGAATACCATGCGCATTGTTAGTATCAGCAGGCAATCCAGCAAAAATACTGTAGTTCGAAAACTGGTTGGAAAATTTAGGAAAAATACTGATCCTTAACAAAGTTATTGAGAAAGAAGAACTCTTCAATGCACAGGTGTTGAAAGAGACGAGTGTGTCTAGGCAAAAAAAAACCTGAAATTAGAAAAAATCCCAGAACCTCAAACAACAAGAGCAAAACTTCTATGATCACAACCAAAATGGAAGCAGAATCACATTAGTTAAAATGGTAACTTTCCCAAATATCCAGCTCGACGTTTACGAACGGAAATGAGTATAGTTTATGAAGAAGTGACATAAGTAGTAAATCATGCGTTAAAATCCTTAAATAATCAACATTCCATCATTCAAACAGGCGACCTGCAGATGGAATAACTGTTCTTCGTCAGTCATAAAAAAATACGGAAATAAGTCATGCGAACCTCGTTAGTAATGCTGATGACAGAGTTATTTTACTCGCGTTCATAGTGAGGTGGAGTAGATGGAGCACATGGGGGACTGTCGGCGCTATCTTCATGGGGTATCGTTACCGAACTTAAGGAATCGATGCTCTAAAAGTGCTACCATAATTATAAGGATAGGAAAAAAAAACACCATTCTCAAAATTAATGTTAACGCTTCTAGGTTTAATAAGTATGGAAAAATACACAGAATTTTACACTTTAATAGGAATCACTAGTTCAGAATTAATACAATATACTAACAAACACAGATCTAGCCCATTGGACACGTTTTCACCTGGGTCCATTTCTTTTCCTACGACTACGCGTCCAACTCATTTCATACGTATTTTTCATCTAATTACTTCCCATTATTTTCTACTTCACGACTGTTTACATGAATATGTTACAAAGCCTAAAGAAACTTGTGCGAATACACATCTAAGAAAGCTTTTATGACAATGGAATTGTTAACAGAGCTCCTAAAAGCATTGCGCGAATATTCAATCAAAAACAGCTCACGGCATCATAAAGAGAACCTGATTTTGCAAATTAAACTGTTGATAACCTTTAACATACAATTCTTATGGCAAATGTATCACTAGTTATGCAGCGGACCCGCTTTATTTTGAGCCACTATAGCATCGCTTGTCCTTGATAAATATTTATAACACGTAATATTTTATGCCTCTCAACGGTTTACCGCTTCATCGTGACTGGGAGGTGTTCTTGGGTGCCGGACTGCGATGTACAGCGGGAGTATCCGTCCCCAGGCAGGGTCTCCCAAGCTGAGGAGTCCGGTGTTTCCATCAGAAAGCTTAGCTAGGAGTAAACCAATACCAGGATTCACCAGCGTCTTAGTATCAAAGTCGCATGGTGGTAAACCTCCCTGTGATCCACAGGGGCTACGACTGTCCGTGGTGGTGAAGACATGGGGCAGACTTTGAGCAGGCTGCCCTCGGGATTTTAAGGAACCACAATGGGTTAACCAGCAAGTCTCCAAAAAATGGTGATTATGCTTGGGCCCGAACAACTAGTGATGATGGGCCGTTCAAGTATCAAGTATCAAGCAATATTTTATGTTTAGGAGTGAACCTATAAAGTGGGAAAACAACGTTAGTGCCACAAAGTGCAAAGTGGTAAAGCGCAGTCGCTTGCCAATGTATTAACCAACAAAATAAAAACAAATGAAAACCAACTCTGCAGTTGACCTCCATTCCAATAAAGTCTTCTGTCATCTGAAAAAATGAAAGTCTCCATTATAAAAACCAAGAAAATTCGTAGAAAATATACAGCGATGAAAAACTGGAATTAGGGTGGCTAGAAATTAGTTACGCCCAAAGCAGTGCTACTTTTTGCCTTCAGGCAACGCGTAGATATCACTAGCACCCTTCTACATCATTTTGTTATTCTGATTGATCACATCCGCACAACACTCCTTCCATCTGAATAGACCACAATAATCTTAACTAAGTCTCATAACCGGAGTCACCGACATATTAAAGGTATTGTCAGTTACCATGCAACCATCATGTTAATCAAGCAATCGTCTCAAATATTTGCACCGCTCTCCATAAACACTCAATAAAGGCCATCATTACCACATCAATCCATTCACTTATTATTCAGCTGCGCCTGAGTGCATCTACACCAGCTGAAGTATTTGTGTGATGTGCTATTTGTCCTACTTAATACTTTGTCTCATCCCATAGTTCTCTTTGTCATCGCATTCTTACTACAAATCAAACTCTCATAAGCTCGCACATGTTTTCTGATGTGTTGGCCTCTTCAATCTCTGCTACTGCACCGATACTTTTCTATTCTGTGTCACACTTTTTGACCGTGTTACCATAGTCGCTTGTTTTATCTAGATGTCGCGCTGTAATCATTATTCTATTGATCTAATTATCGTATTATCACTATATATTCTTCACTTCCTTCCATATGAAAGGCAGTCTCTCATACTGTAACTCCTCATATAAACTCATATAAACCTTGAATATGAATCCTACCGGGTTATTACTGTTGAACCAATGTTGTATTAAGTGGGTAAACGTTTAACTAACCAAGATTGAGATCAAGATCTGTGGAAATAACAGAAAAACCACGTGGTAAACTCATACAAAAGTGAGCAGTCTATTTGAAGCAAGTGACTCTTAAAACTCACTCGAAGAACTATATTTCTGGTTCACCAACCATCATTACAATTATTGATACACTGGCATAATTCCTAGTTATACTCTCCCACATACCGTACCAGGTCACTGAGCGCGTACGACTGGCTCTAAGGTTTAAACAGTATAATAATGTTTTTCTGACTATTTCTTAATTATCGATAATACTAGCTACTTCAATCTCTACTTGGCAGAGTTTGAAGGCTTTTCAGGTAGCTTAGAGTTGAACTTGTGGAAATGAAGCAATCAGTCTTTATTTTTAATATGATTACTGTACTCCACACGAATAAAAAGATCCTCAAACAAATTTTGAGATAACTATTTGGATACGCACTGAAACAAGTAAAGCTCAATATAACGGAAACCTCTATTCCCAATGCAAGCTCAAGTTTAAACTCGACCCTTAAGAGCTGTAAGGTCAAAATACCAGTTGCTCAAATTTTGCGTCATTAAAAAATACTGCAAACAGAACCATCACAAGTTACACCGATTGAAGCCTAAATATGTTGCCCACCACATTGCAACCCACCTTAAAATGAAAGAAACTCCAAATATTCAGATTTGAGATTCAAAATTTTCCAAGCTCATATTCGAGTAGTGGTTCTCTACATAGTTCCTTCACTGGATATTAGAATTGAGTTTGTAACACATTTTGCGACCACCACAGCTTTTCCTAAGCATTCTAAGCGTGCTAGTTTATGTGAAAATAACTGCCGGTTTCGTCATTATTAATGCAACAAATAAAAGGATAAAGGATAAAGCTCTCGCCGTTGATCAATCCCTGAGGAATGCGTCATGTATTCGACCCCACTTAGCATGGCTGGAGGTGACTGAATGCACATCTGGTCTTTACAATGACTCGTGATGGCCTACCGATGTATTGAGCCACTGATGCTTTCCTCCCAAACAAGTTTGGTACCAATTTTACGACCCCGGAGTGATGGAAGGCTTGGTGAGCCTTGGGTGTGGGGATCGATCCCATATGTACTGCAGGGTGCCTCCGACCTCTGTCATACGCGCTTTTGCAACATATACATTACATAAAACACCGATTTTCTATAAACCTCGGCATAAATAATCAGTATATTCATAGATAATCCTACGAACGGTTCTTGTTGAGCTAATACGAGGTTGATATGAGTTGTTGTTGCTTTCGTGATTCCGTAGCTGACATTTCGGCAACTTCGCCTTCTCCACAACCGTTTTATTACGTGTAGAGCCACCCGTTTGTTCACGTGGGAAGATGAGTGGAACCCACTAAGGTTAAAAAAACAATTTCAAAACCATTTAAAAGAGAACATTTGGTTCATTACCTCTCCTCTCACCCCCTATCACAAGAAAAGGGCGCTTGTGAGAAACATGTATCGAACAGCTACCAGCGTGTGCACAGGAAGACAGCAGAGGGAGGAGTCCCTGAACTCGGCGCGAAAAATAGCCATTTTTAATGGCTACGAAACTGTAGCTCGAGATAGGTGTAGAGAAAACCACAGGTACCCCAACGATAACTCTAGCGACAACAAGGTCCCGTTTATACTGCCCTTCATTTCAAATGAAGTAAGCGCAGCTATAAAACGCTGTTTAAGAAGGGCCAGTCTAGAGAATTCGGTAACAATAATCGAAATACCACCGAGTAATCTAAGGCGCCAACTAGTTCGTAACCGCCTATATGACCGTCCATGTGCAACACAAAATTGCACAATTTGTCCCAATGGTAGAGACGGTGACTGCATGAGTTCGGGTACAGTCTATTTGATCTCTTGTAAAGTGTGCGGGGACGGATACGTTGGTGAGACGGGTAGACCACTTTGCGTACGTATAAAAGAACACCTAGTCGGCAAACGTAAACCAAATACTCCAATAGGCACGCATAGCACGCAGAGACATAACGGAGATTTTGAAGTAAGAGTTACGATCCTCGCGCAAGAATCGAGAGCACAAGCGCGCAAAACTCTAGAGGCATTCTGGATTAATTCCAAGAATCCGAAAATGAAGCGCAGGGAGGAATGCCTCATTATCACGCGTGATATTGGACAGTATACAAACCTGTTATTCTGATGGGAGGGGCACATTACGCTTCCATGTGAATTCTGTGCGATCGGTCTTCACACGACATACTCAGTGGAAGACTCATAGAAAGCGGTGAGTGTGCAGAGCTATGTTAAATGTGATTGAAATCTTGGTTTAGCGTCTTCCCTGTTTGGTTATGGAGGTGTTTGGCCGAATAGATTGCTGTCAACTTGACCTTTCCAGGCTCTGAGGAAGGCGAAATCTGCCGAAACGTCAACTTGTACGTAAATAAAGAAATGAAATAGCACCTCGTATTTGCTGAACAGAAGTAGAAAGAATTACTTCAAAGAGAATTGTAAAAAATTTCAAAAATCAAGAGAAGAACCGGAAAGACGAAACACACTCGCAACAACTGATGCCAACCACACGTCGGCTGAACAAAAGCAGCTCATAGGAAAACACATTACATTTTGTAGCAAAGAATTACTTTACTTCATGGATGTTTGGCTTGTAACCCGTTTTTAAACCCAATTTGCGACCATTCAATGCAATGCCCAGCAATGCTACTGAATACACAACGTTTATAGTTTGAATTTCCGTATTAGAAATGTTGGTCTTGACGAAGCGCAAAGAAGCGGTAGATGTTGCCTCTTCAAAAACTAATTAATAGATCTAGAAAAACTCAGTGCTAACCGATTAACCATTGTTCGTCATTTGAAGGGAAAGTGATCCTCATGAATTAAATTATTGTTAGAAAATTATGAAATCTGTCTTGTAGTTTTTTTGCGCAACAACAACGATCTATTTCTTGATGTTGCCATTAAGGCATGCAATTTGAAAGAAGAGTCCCATACGACAACCAACAATTTCCCAAAGAGCGATTGATCTGGTATAAAGCTCCTGAATATTTTCGAAGATTGAACAAAATAAACTGTGATGAATGCTGCACGAACGATCAACCACAGTTTCGTGAATCCCGCCGAAAGAAAGACCATTGCGAATGCCCGCTGCCACAATACCAACAAAATCGATCAAAAAATACAACATATGTCTCAAGATAAAACGTCCAATTCTCTCGCCTTGCTCGACAATACTCCATCAAACCTTGCACTGGTGTTGTCAAACGTGGATGAATTCGTGTACGAAATTCTGTCTCATGAAGCGTACTCATCTGACCTCTGGCCTATCAGGTACCACTTTTTCAAGCAAGTTGAGAACAACTTTCAAAGTGACTCCTTAAAAAGGAGGACATTCGAAAAATTCCCTTCAGAACTTCGTAATTCCAGACCACCAGAGCAAATTTTTTGCCATGGTGGAAAATTTTCTTAGCATCCAAGTCTTGCTATTACTAATGAAGCACGCTTCATCGGAATCATAGCAATTCAAAGTTGTGGTTCAAAACCGACCAATGCGTTTCTGGTATTGGTTCAAAATTTTGCGATTCTTTGACAAAACCGCCTTCAAAGTCTATAAGTTATTTCCCCATTATCCTCAACATATCACAACGTTTCTTTTTCCTTAAAGTGTAACATTCTTCCAACATTATTAGTACAGGACTGAATGGTGGGTGAACACAATTCAGCCATCCTATCTAAATCACTACGTCTCACCGCTATTAATTGAAATAAAACTGTTAGGATCCACGGATCCTTATCAACAACGTACAAGTTCCGCTCTTCTACAACATGAAGTTTCAAAATTATGAATTGATTGTATGTCGCAAAAACAAACAAATGAGGAATTTCGTCAACGCGACACATGGAATCATCGAACGTGGCAAAAGCAATGGTTTGTTGTGACACTTGATCTGTTATTTTAGAAACTTTCTTAATGCATCAATGTTCTGAAGGCTTTAATTTGAAGAACAACTATTAACCGAAAGCGAGCAATACTTACTACAACAACTACGGTTTGGAAACAAGAATTGAATATTTACTAAAGCTCGCATCAGTGATTAATGATACTACGAAAATACAAGCAATTCTTCATCATAGCACATAGTTTTCATGTGGGACCCGGAAATCCTACTATATTCCATAGCTCTGTTTACCCTTACCACTCTTTAATACTGAGTGTTCAGTTTTTAATTCAGTTTTGGACCTGTATACGGTACTAGAGGGTAGATAATAACGAGATTTCGCAAACCATAAAGTAGTTTACGATGGCAGAACCTTTCCTTCACATCATTCAACTCATATGACAGACTAAAACAATGACCAAAATTTTATATTTACTTAATATTAAATAAGCTAACTGAACAGTGAAGAACCATGTGAACATCTCCAAGGTTTACTTGAACTGTTCCTTACATTTGTTCAATAGCCACAAAGACAGTTATAATTAGAACCAAATAAAAATAAGGGCATTACGACATAACCTACCGCTGCAACAGGAGACGATGCCATGAATGGATTCAGACCTGTCGGTAAACTAAGTCGGCCAAGAGGTGCATTCGCCAACTGCTGCGTTATGTCCAAAATTCCAGTGGCATCGACAGAAATTATGCACCAGATAGCTTCTGAAACCTTCGAAAAACGACCGATCAATCATTTCTATTTCTCAACCGTGTTAGCTTAATTAATGGATAGCAATTTTCTGCAGTGCAAAGATGACATGGGGTAAGAACAAAAAAGTGGATTATCATTTGACAACGTAAAAGAAAGATTTTAGAATACACATGTGAACACTAATAGAGCGAAAAGTGATTGTAGAGAGAAACAAAATCAACTTAAATTTGGGAAGAAAATCTGTAGCGGTCAAGGGTTCATTAGTCCAACTGAATACCCCACAGAAACAGCAATCCAAGTAACACAATATAATAGTTTCTTCATCTTAGAAAACCCAATCTACAACAATAGAGGCTAAATTACATAGTCCAAACGACCGCCTCAAATTGTGTAACTTCAGAGAAAGGAAAACTACCTCCAAATGGAACACTCTGAGGTGTATTAAGCTGCCATCGACTTTGATAAATTCCAGGCAACGACGGACTTAACATCCAAACAGTTAACTCGGCTTCACCTCCAGGACCGAGGCTCGCAACTGGCACCCGCTTATCAGAAGACAGTGGCGTTCCTAAAATTTTGATAGAATAGGACAATGACTACGACCGCATAACAATTAGAAGCCGAAACATTTAAAAATAACAGTGGAACCCAAAAATATAGATAAAATGCTTGCCGTCCACAAAGCATAGAGCTGTGCCCTCAGGCCAATGAACTCCTCCTGTATTTTTGACACGCCATGACTTTACAAAACGCGTTTTAGGCGGCACCGCTTCACCCTGCAAGGTCTGCTAATATAAACGCATGATAAAATTGTGCACATACGACAGAGAGCACTTGAAATTACAAGGAAATGTTGAAAGGCTACAGAAACTCTAATCGTTATTATGTCCTTAATATATCGATACAAACAAAACACCTCATACGTCCTAAAAGTAACGATCGAAAAATTTTCTTGTTATAGATGCGATTAAGAACCTCTAATCATATATTTCTTGAGAGGAAAGGAAATAATCACTATAAGACCTTCTCTACATTTCAGTGAAAGCGAAATCATCTTACTATGTTGCGTAATCAACAAGGAAGATTAATGTTCAGAACGTCTCTGCTTAGAAAACCAGCCCACCTCGCCCACAGTAACATCCTTTACAAGTTGCATATTTAGACGAGGTAAATCAAATCCGATTTCACCAACGTTATTTGCATGTCCATGGTCATAATATGCTCCCACTGCATCTTGGAGATTCCTTAAGTGCAGCATATTGAAAGCAAAACAGTATCGCTCTTACTTTTCTTGAAGTTCCATAAACAGATCATATTAATTCGAGACAATCAGACAACAGAAAAGTGCTTTAGAACGTTAAAAAGTGCAAACAATTATACAACATAATGATAATAACATGGCTACAGGGATGTGCAGAGTGCTAAAAGACAGTTCAGTCGACGGCAAACTCACCAATTCGTCATATCCAGAAAGAACGCGCACATTTCCGGTGGAAGTGTAACATCTCCAAGTATACTTTGGAACTGTTTCACGAGCACCTCGAAATAGAATCTGCTTAAATCACAATGACATCACTTTTTTACCCAGTGCCTATTCTTTTTCCATGGCAGGAATTGACGTTAAATACAACCAGAGTGAGTGATGCTCAGACATTTGCAAAACTCCAGATCGCAAGTGTCTGCAGTGGCGATCGAACACGCTATTATCCTTTTCGGGGAGTAACGTGTTCATCACCGCACTATGCGGGTCCTTTTGTTGAATTAAATGATAGAATCTGTTTATTAACTGGGCCATAGAAATTGAGCGCAGCCCTTTAACTTCCCGAATAATAAAATGGTCTCTAATGTCATACCTCCTTATCACTCGTTCTCAAACAGGAGAGTTGACGAATTAAAACATTGTCGATATCGTCTGTGTCCATGTGCTAAAAGAACAAAAGTGAGAACGTAAAAACTATTATAAAAAAGGTACGAGCAGTACTATAAACCAGTACTGCTGGTTATAACAGCATGTTCAGTTCAATACTCGTTTAATACTTCGTGTTAACATCTGCTGCTTACGAATTACGCTCATTTCGCATAGATAAGATACTTAAGCATTTTGTTTGGGACAAGGCCTCTATACGGAACTACATCAGATCACAATATCTCTCAAAATATACCGGTAAAGGTCGAGTTATTACACAATTTGAAGATAAAAGACCGTTTCAATAGTCACATGACAGGTTATTTACAAAAAAAAAATCGTGCAAGAAGCTATTCCATTGTGCAAAGCGTTCAAATAACAAGTTCAGCATCCCTTCAGTTAATAAGATAAAGTATATGAAAAACGCTTAGGTGAGCAACTGGTTACGAACACATCAAACAAACCTATCTTACCAAAAGTTTCAACTACTACACCGCTCGCACAAACAACAGAAACCAGTAGATGGCTGAACTAAGTACTATGAGTACACTTAAGATCTTAAAAGAAGTCAACAACTAAGAGAAAACCTCAGGAATTCTGGAAGAATACTTGCAAAGCACTTTGGAACGTGTGTGTAGTGTACGCCTTTAATTTTTATCATCCAAGATAGCGCGTGAACGGAGTGCAGGCAGCACTCGTCATTTGGTGTCACGTTGCAGATTTTCATAGTGATTAGAAATAGGATTATCCTAGAATCAATATTTCATATTTAGGAAAATCACCTAAGTTTCATGATACATGGTGTGCCCACACAGCCGAAAATTGTTTTTTATGCAGAATATTCGATTTATGAAAATCAACCGTTTCTGGCTTGGTATTGTTCAAGGGTCTGGAACGTTAAAAGAAAAACCATGATTGATCATTATGAGGTGTTCCATGTATATCGTAGTTTACTGAACTTGAACTAGTTCATTACGAGTTTCGATTTCTTGGGCGGATGTCTTCATTACGGATGTGATAAAGACATATCACCGAGAGTAGTACCAATCGTAGCGCATGAAGTTCATCCAGACATCTCACCTGCAAGTACTGACTTATTGATGCACATGTGCTTCTTCATGCGGAACTTACTCCTTTAGAAACCTGGAAGGTGCTTTTCTTTACTGCGCAGTATTGACTTCTCAGAGAAGTGATAGTTTGGCTAGGAGTCAAATGGGAAGACATTAGTCGTTTTCACTACCAAGAGCGTTAGAATCAACCTCTAACAGCCTATGGAAATGGCTACAAACAGAATTAGTCCTTCGTTGTGAACACAAGAATTCTACTATAATCTTCCAACAGAAATGCACGCTTTTCAGTGGAAAGAAAACGATGATTGTGTATCTGAAGTGGAATATTCTGCAATCCTTCCCCATGGATACAGTGCCGCTCCAATAGTGCTAACATCCAGTGAATTTTTCCACTTCAAGAATCATTGGTCTGAAACTAAAGCTCGGGAAAATCACTTAGTTAAACCATTTGGGCGGCGAAATCACTGTCATCTCTCATTCGGTGCAGTTACCTCCAGTCACGCTAAATTATAAATACATATATATATATATATATATATATATATATATATACATATATACATGCATACGTATGCGTATTCATATATACATATACATGTATATTTGCATATATATACATATATATACATATATATATATATATATGTACAAGGAGTGTAAGAAACGCAGTGGTCAGAAGCGCCCCGCAATACCCATGAGATCGATCCTAGCCCACCAGTCTCACCAAACTCTTTCATCCTTCCGGGGCCGGTAGATTAGTACCAGGCTTTTCTGCGAGGATAGCAGCACTAGCTCGATACCGATACATCGGTAGGCTACATCGAATCATTGTAAAGGCTAGATATGCATTAAGTCACCTCCAACGACGCTTAATGAAGTTGAATGCGTGGGGCATCCCTCAGAGATTGATCTGCGTCGAAAGATTTATCCCTTATTCTTTATCCTTTGTATATGACCTTAAATGCACTTTTCAAGCGTCTTCGTCTACTCATCATTTCTGTGTTCCCTGAGCTGTGTACCATCGTTTAAAATCCGTTAGCTAACGGCTTTTGTCTACGAGTTCTTCTTAAGACGCAGCACCTGTTCGCTTCATTCGATTTTTGACAGCTTCGTCTGTGCTCGCCGATTTTCAATCATTGACATGGTTCGGAACATCACGAAAAAGTCGTGAAATCAAGAAAATACATAGAATCGAGTGTTCCTTATTTTACTAACTACATCATCAATGTTCTTGTGAAGTCTACGCAATGTTCGTTTTCTCTTGTTCAACTCTGGTACTAAGTCAGTCGTCTCGTTGACTTCCACAGCCGAACGCATTGCTGAAGCATGCGAACATACTGGTTTTGCTGAACATAAATGGGTGACTACTACTTGATTTTGTAAGGTTGTTATCATTAGCAAAAGAAAAACGGTATACGGTATTTGCAGTTTTCTCGTGAGCAACGAGCGGCCTATCGAGCATAGCTTTTTACGCCAATGATAATATCTTTGTGCAACGGTGAAATTTTTGTCATGATATTATTTACATAGCTCATAATGGATGTTTGTCTACTGAGCAGAAACCTCTATGCTCAACTGATAACATTTATCTTATCCCAATATTTAAAGGGTGATGATGAAAAAGTTCATTTAAGTTTATGTTATTCATGATTAAAGTCGACTCAAGTGCTTTTCGTTTCCATGCTTCTAACAGAAATCGTATAACCTGTACTTGAAGCATGTCGTATTAAAGGATTGGCAAAATCATCGAATCCATCAAAAATATCGTTTTTTTTTCCTTCATACGCGTAGTGTTTCCTTAGCACACTGCCCACACCCTCTAACAAATTAAGGCGACAAAGTAACGAAAAGCATCAAGAAAGAAATTGCTTCTTAATAACTCTATTTGTCATTCCCACTCTCTTTCCTCTCATCTCTCCTCGGTTCACAACGAGCTTTTTATTCCTTTATTTTCATTTTTCTCTTGCATTCTATGGCGTTAATAGAAAACATCAACACCGATAAATAACTAAATGTCTGAGTTATTCCCGTCTATGCATCCTCAAGAACAGAGTTGCAGTATTTCAACGAAAAGCCGGATACCGCCAGGTAAGACGTTATTTGGTGCATAATATTTCGTACTTTAAAGAAGTTTTCTTAAAGAGTTGTCGTCAACATTGACGTTTTGATGAAATGTTGCCGGACTTAAACCATACGTGCCCTAATTAAGGTTGAATCTAAGAGCGCCTAGATTTCTCTCGAGACAGGAGTGTTTTCACTGGAAAAAATTATGCTTACAAATTCATCAGACGTTTAATTTAGTTCAAACAGGGTTCTTTCTGCTAAATGCTGTTACTATGTTCACGGCGACGTGACCTCATATGAAGACAAAGAACAAGTGATAGGCTTCTTAACGATGAAACTGAGATAACTCAGCTCAAAGTAAACTTCACAAATTGAAATAAAGACCGGTAGAATAGAAATGATCTTTGTTTACAAGAAGCGCGGTCTCGATGAATTTCTGGTTTCCTGGAATCCACAACACTAGTTTTTTTCACCTCATTTGCACCAATGAGCTTCTATTTCGAACTCAAAAGCAATTTAACATGTGGAATTTCGCCCAGTTGCACATGATGGTATTCCCTAATGTACTCTTAACTTTTGCTGCTATTGCGCATGTGTAGGAATTTTTAGAAGTCCAAATTTCGTTTAGATTTTCTGAGACTTTTAATTCAAAACAATTTTAAAATTCGGCGAGTCCTTTATGAAAAGTGTGCATACCGTTAGGGGCGCATGTAGCCCAATGATCGGAGGCTCTCTGCAATACACATGGGATCGATCCAAGCGCCCAAGACCAGGCCTTCTATCCCTCTGGTGTTGGCAACGATACCAGGCTTGTCTGGGAGGATAGCATCACTGGCTCGATACATCGGTAGGCCACCGCGAGTCATTGTAAAGGTAAGATATGCACTCAGTCACATCCAGCGACGCTTAATGAAGTAGAATTCATGGCGCATCAAGGATTGATGAACGCCGACAGCTTTGTCTTTTTTGTCCTTAGGGCGATAGAGCAATGTCATTTCTATAATTCGGTAAGGTACCTTTACTCTTTGAATAGTGTAATGATGCAGGAATTATCTTCTGTTGTCAAAAAGCCATCGTTGTCGTGTACGTGTTAAATGGCATGTTATGGAGCTAAGGTTGACTCCAAGGCTCTTATTGCATAAAGACCTTTTAAGCCTTCTATAAGTATATTATATTCATACTTGAATAGTGGAATGTAACGTTTTGAGGAACGATAAC